AAATTAACTACTCAGCTACAGAAAAGGAATGTCTAGCCATCGTATGGGCTATAAGAAAGATGCGACCCTATCTCGAAGGTTATAGATTCACAATTATAACCGATCACATGGTATTGAAGTAGCTCAACTCCATCGAAAACCCCACCGGTCGAGTGGCCCGTTGGGCACTTGAGCTACAGCAACATAGATTCGATATCCAGTACCGAAAGGGAAAGCTAAACGTTGTAGCCGATGCGCAGTCCAGACAGCCACTAGAAAACTTGGGGAAAATTTCAATAGACCATAACACCTCATGCACTAGTTGGTATAGGCGAAAGTGGGATGCATACTCGATACTAGGAAATACAGTGCGGCATACATAATACAAGGAAGAAAACCAAGACTATCTGCTTCATTGTTTAATGAATGCACACCCGGTACGGGTGAAGCTACTTTATCTCCTACAGTCAAAACCGATAGATTGCAACGAATTCTTAAAATAGTTAGACAAAATATACAATCTGCAGCATCAAAACAAGCACAGTATTATTTCAACTATACATATGCTTGTGCACAAATCTGACGTCAGTCCGTCAGCAGAAAACACAACACCAACCCCATTTCGGACAACACCAGAAGTAAACCCACCCTCAACAAAGTTCTGTGCACAACCTAGAAAGATTAAGAGTTATTCAAATATTATCGAGATCATAATGCAACAACATTACCTGAATTCCATGCGTCAATGAGCCGCGGGCATGACTTGACCTGAAGAAAATAAAAAAGCAATAAAAAAAAACAACAAAACTAAAACACAACTTGAAATATGTTAAGGAATAAAACAAATGAATTTTTATTTACAAATTATAATATAAGACATACATTAAACATTTATTAAACAATAAAACACATTTTATATATTTAATTAATAAACATGAATTTCAAGAAATAAATTACCAACAATGAAAAAAACACTCATTGTTTACATCTTTTTTACAACATAAAACAAAATAGGAAAAAAAAACAAAACATAAAAATATAACACATCGAAAAACCACTTCTGCTGTGAATTCTTTGGTTGGGTTATCTTTCTTTTATATATGAACACTGTATTAATTAAAAATATATTTTTCTATTAACAAACAAAACCGAACTACTGTCCAAGACAATAAATTATAATAATGCACTTGCACTGATTGTACTTAACAGCGTTAAAAATTCTATCACCACAATGTCACTCACTTGTATCTTGGCACATAACTTCTTCAAAAATTAAATAATATAAATTAAAACTTTAATATTATTTTTAACTTTCTGATTTAAATCAGAAAGACGCAGAATATGTCAAATGTAAAAGCGCGGCGAAAACAAAACAGGCATACAACACAAAGTACACAAAAAAATGCACAAAAGCATGCAAAATACACAAAATACACAAGAAAGGCTTGCGAAAAGCACAAAAGTTAACACGAACAGCGAAGTTTACCGGTACGCTACACCGAAAAGCTCCGGTCAAACAAGTATATAAGAGCGCGATTTTCACAGAACTAGCAACTTGTCTCTTGGATATCAAACGATAAACAAGTTCAACTGGTCAATTCGATCAATTTTAGTTTACAGGCTTAATCAGCCTAAACTGGTCAGTTCGATCAAATCAGGATAACCAACTGGTCAATTCGATCAGTATTAGTTTACAGGTTTAATCAGCCTAAACTGGTCAGTTCGATCAAATCAGGATATCCTACTGGTCTATTCGATCATTTGTTTTTATTGATTTTTTTCCTTTTTACATTTACTTTCTAATCTGGCTCATTCAGCCAAACTATCATATCCCTTAGCACAAGGCAGGAGTCTTCTTAACGGATAAGCCAGAGCCAGTCGCTGAAACATCGTCATCTTTGACAGCAGGTGATCTTGTATATAATTCATATACTGAGGTGACATAAGTTCACCCCTAAGAAATAGTCACGCGCGGAAATCATAAATTTCTCCGATCTTTGGAAAATAATATTTTTTTTGTCAACGTACCAAAGTTTTTTATCTAAATTATAACTGTTCGTGATTGGCTTTATATTTTTCTATTAAAATTTAGTATTAATTTGGAATATTTTGTTTACTTATTTTTTGGTTGCAGTTGGCAACCCTTTTTTATTATAAAATACTCTGAAATGAAAAATAAAATTAGTCCTTGTAAAAGTTCAATCGAGTCGGTGTTTCCTTTAAAAACTTCGTTTTGTTTCCTAATTTTGTTATCGCTTGTGGTTTCAAAAACTTTTGAGGCCCCAACATTTTGGTGACCCCGACGTGATCACGTTGATCACTTTAGTGTTTTCTTTTTTTTATATTTTTAAAACATTTATTGTATTGAAAATTGCACGATTCGGTTGCGAATTTTTGTTGTCGTTTATTTGAACATTACAGTTTTGGTTTGCGGTATTACAGCTGCGTCGGCAGCGCCGCATCAACCAATTTTTTACTTCTTTCGGTTACATCATTTTGCAAAAAAAAAAAACTCGCGTGATTCGGTTGCGAATTTTTGTGCGGGTTTATATCTATATTTCCATCTATATTTTTTGTAGTTGATCTCAATTTCTTGCATCTGTTAACGAACATTAATAATGGAAGAAGATAAGATAGAGGCATCAACATTTTTAAAATTAAAATGTTCACGTCTAGGAACACAACTAAAGGATTTGGAAAAAAAATTGTCTGCTGAATTTTTGAGTAATTGCCATGAAGTGCAACTACAACTCTACATCGACTCTCTCCAACAACTAAACACTAAGTTTGACGCAGCTCAATCTAGTCTCGAACAGGAAGACTTCCATGAACTGAAAAGTGAGGTGCGAGATAACTTTGAACAGAAGTATATTGACATTAAATCCGCGATCATGATAGAGCTGTCCCATCGTCAAACGAATATCAGAAATTCAACTAGTAGATTTCTATCGAACGATGAGGCTCCTTCTATTAATGTTAAATACTCGCGTTCAAGGCTGCCAGAACTTCAACTCCCGACCTTCAGTGGTGACATCAAGGACTGGCCGCATTTCATTTCAATGTTTGGAACAATTGTTGATGAAAGCATTGAACTCAGCAATCTCGAAAAACTTCAGCACTTAAGATCTTGTTTGAAGGGCTCAGCGCTAGATGCAATAAAGTCACTTGAAGTCAGTGACGCTAACTATGCTAAGTCACTTTTATTATTATCTAAAAAATTTGATAACAAAAGATTAATCTTTCAGGCACACATAAAGGAAATATTTGGGTTGCGACGTGTTGAACCAAACGCCGTTGTTGATCTGCGACGCCTTAGTGATAAAATGAATTCACACCTACATGCATTGAGCACGCTGGGCAGCAAGGAACAAATTGCTGATGGTCTCATAGTACATCTTGTTTCGCAAAGACTAGATCCTGCATCTCAAGCAAAATGGAAGAAAAGGCTTCAATTGATGCAATACCTACGTGGGATCAAATGGCAGATTTTCTTGATAAAAGATGTAAAACTTTGGAGCATGTTGATTACGCCACAAAATTTTCAGCACATAACAAAACTAAGCAAATCAATCTCCATCCAATTGCCAGAAAAGTGTTCATAGCAACAAACTCAAAGGGATGTACATTTTGTGAAAGTGATGATCATTTCATTTACTCCTGTTGTCAATTCACATATCTTTCTCCAAGACTTCGTCTAACTGAAACCAGAAAACTTAGCCTTTGTTTAAATTGTCTAAAAAAGAGACATCAATTAAAACAATGCAAGTCTTCGTTTTGTCGTATTTGATCGTATTAATGACAGTACCTCTTCTTCATCTAATGATGTACCAATAGTTAATCCGACGTCAAATACTAAATCTAAAGTGCAGGCTTACTTAGTTTCAACAAACGCGTCGCAACAAACCCAAAATTATCCTTCAAGTGAATGTGTGCTTCTTGCAACTGCAATCATATTAATAAGAAATCGTGCTGGCTCTTATATACCATGCCGTGCTCTTCTGGATTCAGCATCGCAATTACACTTTATTACAAAATCACTTGCCAACACACTTCAACTTAAAACAACAAAATGTGCCACAGTAATATCAGGTATTACAGATAGAGATTTTGTCGCTGACAACACTACTGAGTTATCCATAAAATCACGTTTTGGCAATTACACCAGTAGCATCACCGCAGTGATTACTTCTAAAATTACTAATCAACATCCCAGCACAAACGTTAATACAACTGATTGGAATATTCCAAAAAATCTTCAACTAGCTGATCCAGCATTCAATAAATCACAACGTATTGATATTCTTATTGGTGCAGCTCTCTTTTTCGATCTACTATGTATAGGTCAAATCCGTTTAGCGCCTTAATTACCAGTATTACAAAAAACGCTTTTTGGTTGCGTAGTTTCTGGAGGTAACCAGCATTCTTCAATATCATCGTCACTAGCCACATTTAAAAAGTCATCAACTCCGGATGATCGGTATCACTCCTTGGATCAACAAGTAAGAAAATTTTGGGAGCTAGAAAGTTGTTTTGATCATGTAATCAAAATTACGAAAGAGCATTTAGATTGTCAAGCCCATTTCCAAGCACACTTTTCTCGATTGGTAACTGGTGAGTACTCAGTTCGCTTACCATTGAAATTAGATATTCAGCTACTTGGTGACTCATATCAACAAGCTGCACGTCGTTTTTATAATCTGGAACGCAAACTACAACGAAACACTGATCTAAAGACACAATATAGTGCATTTATAAAAGAGTATTTGCAGCTTAATCACATGTCACCATTAACTGATGAAGAATTAACTAGTCCCAAGTATTTTTTGCCACATCATTGCGTCATCAAAGAATCAAGTTCATCCACAAAACTCCGTGTTGTATTTGATGGGTCAGCAGCCACTTCCACGGGATACTCTTTAAATGATATATTAATGTCGGGTCCTACAATTCAACCAAATCTCATTGACTTACTCATTCGTTTTTGATCTTTTCCTATTGCAGTAACTGCGGATATTTGCAAAATGTATCGTGCTGTTCGAGTCACACGCCCGGATAACTTTTTACAGTGTATACTTTGGAGAAATGACATGCAAGAACCATTGAAAGTATTTAAGCTTGATACGGTGACTTATGGCACAAAGCCAGCAGCATTCCTGGCAGTCCGTGCTATGCAGCAATTAGCAGTTGATGAATCATTAAACTTTCCTATTGGTTCCAAAATTACTCTTCGAGATTTTTATGTTGATGACTTAATCTCCGGTGGCAATTGCATTGATGATGTTCAAGACATTGTGAGACAAACCACTGCATTGCTCAATAAAGGGAATTTCAAACTAAGGAAATGGTGTTCAAATCAATTATCTGCACTTGATGATATTCCAGAAGACGATAGAGAGCCATTGCTTAATTTCGATGACGGCAGCGAATTCACAAAAACTCTTGGTCTGCTGTGGGATCCAACCAATGATAAATTTTTATTTACCTTTGCACCACATCAACACTCAAGGCGTACTACAAAGCGCTCTGTGCTTTCTGTTATTGCCCGACTTTATGACCCGCTTGGTCTTGTTGGTCCCTTGATATCAAAGGCAAAAATATTTTTACAGTGTTTATGGAAACACACACTCGACTGGGACGAGAGCCTTCCGAACCAACTCCACACTGCATGGACTGACCTCTACAATCGTCTCCATATAATTCAAAGACTAGAATTTCCTCGTTGTGTTTCAATCTCTCATGCATCACTCGAATTACATGCCTTTTGTGATGCTAGTTTGAACGCATATGGCGTTTGCATCTATGTTGTTTCGAAGCACGGAAGTTCTGAGTCTGCCAATTTGCTTTGTTCAAAGTCTCGAGTAGCACCATTAAAAACATTGACAGTACCAAAATTAGAATTATGTGCCGCAGCTTTATTAGCTCAACTAATTCACCAAATTTCAAGTCTCAATATATTTAACGCTGAAATTCACTGTTGGTCTCACTCATCTATAGTGTTATCCTGGATCCGATCTGAACCGTCTACCTTCAATGTATTCGTGGCCAATCGAGAGAGCAAAATTCAACATTTGACTAAAGGGATGACATGGCATCATGTTCTCACTGATTTAAATCCCACAGACATCCTATCTAAGGGAGCGACTCCAGACGAACTTTTAACTTCATCACTTTGGCAATGTGGAACTCCATTCTTGCTTGGAGATCGAAACAATTGGCCTATGACTTATCACCTGCTGTATGATTTGCCTGAAAAACGCAAGGCAGTTCTTATTTCAACTGTAAAAACAAATGACATTTCGATTAATTGGAAATTTATCAACAATTTTTACAAAATACAACGTATATTTGGGTATGTCCACAAATTCATCAGCAAGGAGCGATCTACTATTTTAACAGCTAATAACATACAGCAAGGCACATTCATATTAATTCGAACAGTGCAAAAGGCGAATTTATGGAATGAATATCATAATTTGGAATGCAAAAAATCAATTAGTTGCTCAAGTAACTTATTCTCCTTAACTCCATTTTTAGATGATCTTGGTCTACTTCGTGTTGGTGGACGACTAAAAAACTCTAACCTAGGCTTTAATGCACAACATCCAATTATACTACCTAAGCATCATCCGCTCACTGTTTCAATCATAAATCATTTTCATCGCAAAATGCTGCATGCAGGTCCACAATCATTGCTTGCTTCAATGCGTCTTCAATATTGGCCAATAGGAGGTAGAAAGCTAGTATCCAAGGTCATCAACCAATGTATTATATGTTTCCGAGCGAAACCAATAACTGCAAGGCATATCATGGGACAATTACCAAAAGATCGTGTTCATGCTAATCGTGCTTTCATCATTACTGGCACGGACTTTTGTGGTCCTTTTTATTACAAGTCCGAAGTTCGCAATAAGTCTCCAAGCAAATGCTATGTTTGTTTATTCATTTGTTTCGCGACCAAAGCTGTCCATCTTGAATTGGTCAAGGATTTAACAACATCAGCATTTCTAGCCGCATTACAGCGTTTTATTTCAACTCGTGGCAAACCAAAAATCATTTGGTCAGATAATGCTACAAATTTTTGCGATGCCAAAAATCAGCTTGCTGAGCTCAGGAGACTTTTCTTTACTCAAAAACATCATGAGCTGCTTCACCATCAATGTCTCAGTGACAGTATCGAATGGAAATTCATACCTCCTGGATCGCCACATTTCGGCGGCCTCTGGGAAGCTGCCGTAAAAACAGCCAAATATCACTTTTGTCGAGCGGTTGGCTTAGCAGTTTTAGACTTCGATGAACTACGCACTTTGGTTTGCCAAATTGCTGCTATTATCAACTCTCGTCCGCTCTGCCCGCTTTCAGAATGTCCGGAAGATCTTGATGTTCTCACACCTGCTCACTTTCTAATCGGTGCCCCGTTAACATCAATCATTGAGCCTGACACTACGGTCTTGAATGTTAACCGGCTTGATCGCTGGCAGCGCATTTCATATATTCAACAAATTTTTTGGAAACGCTGGAGTACCGAATATCTTACACAGCTACAAGAGCGATCAAAATGGCGAAGGCCGACTCCAAATATATCACTTGGTGCAATAGTTCTTTTAAAGGATGACAATCTCCCACCATTTTGCTGGCCGCTCGGTAGAGTTATTGAAGTCATATCTGGTCCTGATGGTGTCATTCGTGTAGCGGTAGTGCGCACAAAACATGGTGTTTTTAGACGCACTGTCACGAAGCTCTGTATCTTGCCTTTAAATGATTTCTCTTGGAACGCGACTGTTCCAATGGGGGGAGAATGTTCGTGATTGGCTTTATATTTTTCTATTAAAATTTAATATTAATTTGGAATATTTTGTTTACTTATTTTTTGGTTGCAGTTGGCAACCCTTTTTTATTATAAAACACTCTGAAATGAAAAATAAAATTAGTCTCTTGTAAAAGTTCAATCGAGTCGGTGTTTCCTTTAAAAACTTCGTTTTGTTTCCTAATTTTGTTATCGCTTGTGGTTTCAAAAACTCTTGAGGCCCCAACAATAACTATTATAATTATTTTGTTTTGAATCATTAAATAAAGCATTAATAAAATATATCCTTTTTTTTATAGCCTTTTTTTTGTTTGGTCTCAGCGAACATGAATTTTATTGCAACGAACCTGGACAGCCGCTTTGCTACCTCAGCAAAACAAAACGACTGAAAAGTGGTCGTTACACGTTATTGCAATTTTCATCAGTCACCCTTTTAGGTGGAATCATGTCCCATTCACTCTTTTGGATTTAAGTAAATGCGGTACTCAACTTAGCAACAACTTAACATTTTCAAATACAATGTCACCTTTACTTGGTGTATTAAAAATTCAACATCAAAGACGGCTATACTACCACAATGAAACTCGATAAACTACTTTTAAATTATTCCACATGGTGGTACTTAATCCATATATTGTTTGTAGATCATTTTTTATAAAACTGTTTTTTTACTTAACACGCAAAATTGTTCCTTTTCCCTTTAAGCACATTCATTTAAACATGAGTGATTTAAACATCTTTAAATCATATAAGATCGCTCAATTTATGGATATAATATATACTAAGATATGTATAAA